TCTATTATCCCTTGTTATTACGGATTCGTTGGAAGTAAGTGCTTCTGTATTTGTTTTTGTTTTTTTTTTCTGTATTCACTTGCATTTTTACTAAAAATTAGTTTCAATTATTTTAAAAGCGCTTCCAAATAAGTTTATTTGTTAGAAAAACGAACATTAATCAAACAATAAATCAAATGATGAGAAATAACTAATTACTTTCTCATATAATTTAATTAATCAAACAATAAATCAAATGTTCGAGAGTGCAAGAATGAGAAGCTTCCACCTCTACTCCAATCATTGATCAATTTAAGGTCTCTTGTTTTTACATATTTATAAACCATCCATTGTCGTTTAACCTAAAATCTAGTCTTTCCCTCTGTCGTTTTACATGCTTTCTCCTTGGTGCTTCTCTTACAATTATGCCAAGTCCTAAGTAGGAATCTACCGGCAGAAAAATCCAACTTAGGCCACCTGCTTACTCTCTCTCTCTCTCTCTCTCTCTGAGACATAAAAATTCATGCAAAAATATTAAAAAATAAAATAAAAATCCAAACTTTTTTGTTTGAAACTATTTGCTCTGTATTGGCAATAATCCCAAAGCTCGTGGCTTTAGCGGCAGGGTGAGTCAGTGACTTGTTAAAGTACACTTTGAAGACAGTGCGCGTCGTCTTCCTACTTTCATGCATCTTTTGTGTGCCTATTTTTTTCCTCATCTGCGTAAAAACTCGAAAAGCTGATTCATTTGGTTTCTGTGCCTGTCATGATATAATCGTTTCTGCTTTTTCCCATAGTGATTAATGCGTGTTTCTGCTTCTGCGTTTTGTCTCTTGTGAACTGTACTGGTAATTTGGATTTGGGTTTTGGTTGTTGGGGTGTAGTAGTATTTCAGATCTCTGCTTATTCCCTCAGTGATTATGCATGCTTGTTCTGCTTCTGGGTTTGTCTTTTCTTTATGAAGTGTACGGCTTGTGAGGGAGATTTTTGGATATGGGTTTTGATTTTGGGGTGTGTTGAGTGAGTGCCGGGGTGCAGTCAGTGATTGTGCATGTTTTCTGCTTCTGCGTTGGCTTTTTAATGAACTGTACGGTCTGTGATGAAGAATTTGGATGTGGGTTTTGATTGTGGGGTGTGCTGAGGAATTGTGGGGGTGTCGGATTTCAGAACTTCTGGGTGCGCTGAGTTATGAAAGAGAAGGGTGATGGGAAAGTTGTGGTGGTGGCTGTGAAAGCATTGAAGGAGATTTCAAGTACTGTTCTGGTGTGGGCTTTGACTCATGTTGTGCAGCCTGGTGATTATGTCAAGCTTTTGGCTGTCATTCCTTCTCACTCAAGTAAGTAATCTTCCTTTTATTTCGATCGAAGAAATTGCATATCTGGGTTAGACCAGTTGGTCAGGGCAGTATTGTGTCCGTCCCTTGCACCCAAGTTCGAATCCCCCTCTCCGTAGATTGCAAGCAAACTGTTTAGTGTGGCATGTCTAAGATTGGTGTTCTAATTCATTTCTTGACATATATTGTTCTCCTGTGAATGTAAGAAGTTTTTATCTTTAGGGAACTGTTTCGTGAACTGGAAATATGTTACGGTTAACTCTTCCTCTGGATTTGGATTTGTCTATTGGGTACTAATTCTGATAGAGGGTTCTTCACAAATTCGAAGCTTAGATATCGGTTTCAAAACCAAGTTGAATTATGCCTAAGGTGTATCTGATTTGTGCTTGGTGAAATTTTAACTCTTCGGTTTGTGCTCGAGTTTATATCAACTCGGGTGGCCAAAACTGAGGGTTGATTGATGAAAACACCATGTGTCTAGGTAAAAGGATATGGGATTTTGCAAGATTTACCAACGATTGCACGACAAGTCACCGGAGGTCTTTCTCAGGAACCATGTTAGATGACAGGGATGACATTGTGGACTCATGCTCTCAGATGGTGCTGCAACTCCAAGATGTCTATGATCCAGAGAAGGTCAGTGCATCAATGTCGTTTTGTTCCCAATGTTTAGCCCTTAAATGCATTACAACTAATACTAGTTCCATATTTTTCTTCACAGATAAAGGTCCGGGTAAAGATTGTTTCTGGCACACCGTGTGGTGTTGTGGCTTCCGAAGCAAAGAAAGCTCAATCAAACTGGGTTATATTGGACAAGTAATACATTCAATGTAACCTTAATATCTACTATGAAATGCTATAGCATAACGTTAAATCCTCATCCGCAAAAAATTTGAGCACGAAAGCTTTTTCTCCAGAATATTGTTTCATTTCCTTACTTCCGGTTAAAGTTATCAATCTTATTTCAATCTTTTGCAGAAACTTGAAATGTGAAAAGAAACACTGTTTGGAGAAGCTGCAATGCAATGTCGTGATTATGAAACGATCTGGGCCAAAGGTTCTTCGGTTGAATTTGGTTAATTCTCCAAAGATGGAACCTGAAGCGCCCTTCTGTTCGTTGTCTGAATCAGGATCTTATCCAAAACTTCTGAAAAGCCAGTTTGAAGAGTGGAATATGATTAGAGGGCCGACTGTGACTCCAACTAGTAGTTTCGACCGCGAGTCACCTCTGACTGCTACGGATATTGGAACATCATCTATATCAAGCTCAGATGCAGGGACTGAATCATGCTCGAATTCTGAAATTTTGGGGAGGTTAAAGCAAGAGTATCAGCATGCGAATGATTCTGACAGTGAGGCAAACCATGAAAACCGGAGTTCTTGTCATGTGAGCTCATATTGCCAGCCATGGATGACAACAGATTACCTAAGTTCCAGTGGTGAATTTTCAAGATATGTGGCAGAAGGTTCAGAGAGACATTACAATAAGGCTTTGATTTCAACATATGGAACCTTGCTGGATAAGTTAGCCAACTTAAATCGACAACCTGATGTTGGAGTATTGAATTGTAGGCTTGATTTGAACTTAAGCAGAAGTGTACGTGAAGCAATCTCGCTATCCAGACACTCACCTCCCAACCCTCCTCCATTGTGTTCGATATGTCTGCACAAGGCACCTGCATTTGGAAATCCACCTAGGTGGTTCACTTACGCTGAGCTGGAACTTGCCACAGGTGGCTTTTCAGAAGCAAATTTCTTGGCTGAAGGTGGATATGGCTCCGTACACAGAGGCGTCTTACCACATGGTCAGGTTGTTGCTGTCAAGCAACATAAATTGGCTAGTTCTCAAGGTGATAAGGAATTCTGCTCAGAAGTAGAGGTCTTAAGCTGCGCGCAGCATCGCAATGTTGTAATGTTGATTGGATTCTGTGTGGAGAATGGTAAAAGGTTGCTAGTTTACGAATATGTGTGCAATGGATCTTTGGATTCTCATCTATATGGTAAGTTCAACATCCCTTTTGTCAAAAGAGCGGATACATAACCACGAACACTCTCTGTAGAAGTTTGTTTCACCTTTACTTCTGAGACCTACCTAATTAAGGGGAATGCTAAAAATTTTCAGGGAAAGACAGTCGCCCGTTAAAATGGTCTGCACGACAAAGAACTGCAGTTGGAGCAGCTCGAGGGCTGAGATACCTTCATGAAGAGTGCAGAGTGGGTTGCATTGTCCACCGGGATATGAGGCCGAACAATATCCTTCTGACCCATGATTTTGAACCATTGGTATGGCATCCTCTCCTCATCACTTCAAATAAATTTCAAGTACTCTCTTCACCAAGTTTAACGTTTTCCTTGACGAATCTCATTGCGTATGAGTGTTTATGCAAAATGCATCACTTGGAGTAAAATCAACTGACTTCTGGATTTTCAGGTAGGAGATTTTGGACTCGCACGGTGGCAACCAGATGGAGATATTGGGATGCAAACAAGAGTACTTGGAAGATTCGGGTAAGACCATACGACTTGAGAGGTCTTAATTAAATAAAATTACCAATGGATAAATTTTTTAGACTAAATCAGAAACCTTGTGTTAATGTAGTTACTTGGCTCCAGAATATGCTCAAAGTGGACAAATCACAGAAAAAGCTGATGTGTATTCGTTCGGAGTAGTATTAGTAGAGCTCGTTACAGGACGGAAAGCTATGGACATAAACCGCCCGAGAGGCCAGCAATGCCTCACTGAATGGGTATGTATGAGTAAGGCAACTTTACTTTGAGATAGCTGATGTCTATAATGGCCGTTGCTTACACTCATTTCTGCGGAGCAGGCACGCCCCTTGCTCGAAAAGAAGGCCACTTTCGAACTGTTAGACCCGCGGTTAAGGAACTGCTATTCGAAGCAACAGGTTTGCAACATGATGCAATGTGCTTCCTTGTGCATCAGGCGTGACCCTCGTTCGAGGCCCCGAATGTCTCAGGTATGTGTTGCTGTCATGTAACCCTCACTCACTGCTGGTGTACGTGTTGTGAACTTGTTTCTTGTCCAATTTGTATCCGCAGGTGCTTCGGATTTTGGAAGGCGATGACATTCCGGAGAATTCGCCAAATCATTCTTGCTTGAAGGAGGCCTTATGAGGACATTCTGTAGACATCCCGGAGAGATAGATATGCCTGTAATCAAGTTGAATATATGTGGAGATTTTGTAGACAAATGTCATCTTCCTGTTACTATAGTAAAATTAGTGTAAGATTTTGATATAATGGGCTTCTTTACTGTCATTTGGGAGTAAGATGGTGCAATATTACTTTACCTGTCACATAATTTATCGCAAAATAATACTCGGAAAATCACATAACTCCATTTGAAAAAAAGAAAAGAAAAAAAATCACATAACTCCACATTATTCTCAACCCTTGTTCTAAGGGCTGGTTTGTAATTGCATTTTAAAAAAAAAAAAGTAGCTTCTTAAATAAGTTGGGAGTTAAAATTGTGTTTGATAAAAGAATTTTTCTTTCTTTTTTGTTTTTCCAAATTATGAATCTAAAACAGCAAAAAAACAGAAGCAACTGTAGCTGTGCTTCTCAAAAAAGTGTTTCTTTTGTAGGAGGCGGATGAACAATAATCTTTAATAAAACTTTCATAGTAACAATAATACGCGGTTTTCTTTTCTTTTGCTAAAAACAATTTTAGCACTATATAGGTAACCAAACATTACATTACACCACAGCTGTTTACTTATGCTAAATGAAGTACACCCGCCTCAGATTGGTGGATTATTGACGGTAAATGGTGAAGTTGGGCCTACAAAGTGAAAAAAGGTATAAATCGAGAAAAGCAGAGTACGAGTCTGAGTGAGGCCACGGGACGAACACCATGCGTGCGTTGGTGAAAGTTGGCGGCAAACGCTTAAGCTCTGCGCTGAGCAGCCTCAGCTCGCCGTATATCCGCCGCTTCTGCAGCAGCCTTAACTCCGGCTCCGTTCATCCCAGTGCAAACGTTCACCCCAATGCCGTTTTGGGTCAGGTACTCCACCTATCAATGCTCGACTAAATTAGCTTACTTTTAGTGGCGAAACTCATAGTGTCGTTGCGGTTTGGTGTTTCTGCGACAGGGTGTTTCAATTGGACCCTTTTGTACTGTTGGATCGTCGGCGAAGGTTGGCAATGGCTGCCGATTATACCCCGGAAGCCATATTTTTGGAAATACAGAAGTTGGGGAGCGTTGTGTTTTGTTGACGTGAGTTTCGTGTATATAAATATATACATGTATATAGACATTTTTGATAACTTGATAAAGGTTTCGAATTTGATTTCAAGCTTTGAACTTTTCATTGGTGTGGTGCAAAATTTGTCAGGCAGTGGTGCCATTGTTGGTGATGATCTTCCAGGGCGTACCGTGCTCGGGTGTGATAATGTTATTGGACACCATGCCGTGGTTGGTGTCAAATGCCAAGATTTGAAGTACAAGGTCAGTTTCGATATGTTAACGAATTCACTACAATACTGTTACTTTTAAGACAAAGTTCACTAGTTTGTGTTTGTTTTGTGATTTAGTCAGGGGATGAATGTTTCCTTGATGTTGGGGACAACAACGATATCAGAGAGCATACTTCAATCCACCGATCTTCAAAGTCGAGTGATATAACAGTATGTGGATATGTTAATTAATTTCAAATTTGAGTTTCATGCTCTCATTGTTGTTGTGCGATCAGGCTATTGGGAATAACAATCTTATCATGGGATCTTGTCATATTGCCCACGATTGCAAGATCGGAAACAACATCATTTTTGCAAATAATACATTGCTGGCAGGCCATGTTGTGGTGGAAGTAAGCCCTTACGCTCTCTTTGGATTATGAAATTTCAAATTTCAGGATATTGGCTGAGTTTTCATAGAAAGATGTGTTCTTTTGCTCAATATACAGATTACATATGATACGTCATACGGTATATTTGTTGTAATCCACAGTGTTACATCGTGTCTTGCATTTCAAACTCCTCTTCTACATCAAATGTAACGTTAGTCTGTTTTGCAAACTTCAAGTAAGAATATATCCTGATATATACTTCTATTCTACTTGTAGTATCTGATATTTAGTTGCGTTTCAAATGTAGGATTATGCTCACACAGCAGGGGCTGTCGTCGTTCATCAATTCTGCCATGTTGGCTCTTTCTCATTTATTGGTGGTGGCTCTGTGGTATGACAGTCTTACTTTTTACCATCTTTTATGCAACGTGGAAACTTGAACAATTGCTTCAGAGTCTCAGACTAGCGAATTGTGAGATTGGTGCCAGTACATGAATTTGGCTCAAAAATTTTCACCGTGAAATCTTTGATTTAACATGTTCTTTTTTATATCCTTGAAGATCACACAGGATGTTCCAAAGTACATGATGGTTGCAGGAGAAAGAGCTGTGCTTCGTGGTTTAAACCTTGAAGGTCTACGGCGTAATGGATTCACAGCCGCAGAGGTTTTGATTAATCAATGTTTCGTCTTAATTTTTGACATTTTTCATTTCATTTTATTTAATTGCAAATCTAAAAGAGCTTTATACCTCTGGGCAAGGATCTAGATCAGAAGCCTGAGAACAGCTTACCAAAAGATATTCATGCCTGCTGATGAAAATTCCGGGGATTTTGAAGAATGTCTTTCCCACGTGGTATCACATTCAACCTCATATCTACCCTCTGACATCTAAGCTTTTAAATTGCTGGTCATGGAGCGAAATTTATTTTGCAGGAGCTGCATGCTGAATTGGCTCATATACCTGCAGTCCGTTCCATGGTGCAGTCTATCCGTGACTCTTTTGAAGGAAAGCGACGTGGAATATGTAAATTCAGACATTGGAATGGCTCTTAAAAGCATGTAACAGGTCAGTTTTTTGTTCTGTAAAGATATTATTCACATATTACAAACATCTGTGCTTCCTAGGAATCGCTAGAGTTATACCTATGAATTCTGGCAGTTAATTTGGTTTTCTGTTTCATCTTTTCGCAGTGACCTAACTGCTAGTGTATTTACAAAACCGCTGAGGATGTGCTCCGGTATGTAGTATGAAGAACTTGCCAGGCAGCTCGTGGTTGTGCCGAGGAAACAATGGAATACAACAAGAAGTCGCAGATGCATAGCAGAATGTAGAATCTTTTTCAACTAGTGAATTGTTTGAAGGAAATTACTTGTGCAATTTCTTTGAAGTTAGAAAAAACAAACATTCCTTTGAATTTTTGTGCAAGAACATTGACCTCAAATTCACAGAAAATGCTAGGAATTCATTTGATGCTTTAAAAATGTTTGTTTTTTAATTACTTTTTATTATTCTTTGATTACCAGAATGCATTATTAATTTAAGGTATTCTTTGATGCTTCAAAAATCAAATCAACATAAAATATGTTGCAAGACAATCTTGGAGTTTTTCTTAGTTTTCAAAGTTCATTGTTTTCCTTGTTGATTTTGATTGTTGAAAATGGAAGCAATTCAAGTCCATCAAAAGGCATATTAAATTTGATTTAAAATTTTGTTCTTATTGTGATACCTTTGACTACATAATCGTTGAATACTGTTCTTCATTTCTTTTTCTTTGGGGATGTATATATCTACTGTCCAATATTAACAAAATCTTATATATGAAACTATTATTAGTACTGTAAAAGAGTTATTATGCACTCAAAATCTGTAAACACGAGAAAAATTATATAAGAAAGAGAGCAAAATGTCATTTTTTAAGTGGCAATACAGTGACAAATGGTCCTTCGTTCTTGCATAACTCACAACTTTGACCCCTAATGTTCAAAACCAACCAACGTCATCCTCTACATTTAAGTCCGCGCGCCCGTCAATGTTGCCGTCATCGTGATAGTTTTTCTGCTGTATGAACTTCAGCCATTCATTTGCAGTTTCTGATACTTAATAGTTAATCCACCAGGGCAGGATAAATTGTGATAACAAAAATGAACTGATGGTTTAGAGACAATTGACCTCATTTTTTCAAAACGAGATATTTTGGTTTTAAGAATGATTTGAACTCTTTTTTAAGTGCGGTCCAATTACTTCGCAAATAGGGAGGAAGATGATTTTTGAGTTCGTCATAAGAAATAGTGGTCTTGATTATCTCGTTTTAATCAAGATATATTGTTGTGATATATATCCAGACATTATCAAAATTTGGTTGATCTTTCTCGATGGAATATTGAACTAGTTAGGATCAAATTGTGATTTTCTATGTTTCCTCATCTGCATAGGAAATATTCTTTCTCCACTTTGACTTTGAAGCCATGACTTGAAATATGTTTGGTCACCTCAATTTGCAGTTAGAACAAAAATATTCTCGTTATGACCAGGTGACCAAATAATGCATGAGTGTTCACCTCATTGAGGATGAAAAACCAGTGGTGATTTTAGTGTTTTAATCTCAATTTTTGATATCAAATTCAAAAGTAGATCACCATGAATTTGAAGAAAATTGAGGTTTTACCATAAAACCAATTGAAAATATAGGGAGTGACCCAATTTCTTATAAGTATATGCAAGATCCCTTCTTTCACCGATGTGAAATTAATACTCTCAACACACCCTCACGCATGATGAATTTTCAAGCCTAACACATGGACAACACATTTCGAGTGACAAGTGTGGCCGTTGGGCTTCACACTTAGGATAATTTGCTCTGATACTATAAAGAAAATTAGAATTTCACTATAAAACCAATTGGCTCATAGTTTGAGAAAAACATCTTCTTCCTAGAGTCAAATTTTATTTTGTTGCAGCAACAAATAAATAAAATTAAGTCGGAAATAAACAATAATCTTATTCTACACTGTTTCAAATCATTCCCCCTTCATAAAATTAATAAAACAGACAAAGTGATAATAATATCACTTCTTTTGTGGCTGCTGATATGAGATTGTCTACTTATTTTGATAGGAAAAAAAAATGCTGATGAGTGCTTGTACATTGGATCTTCCTCTACTTAGTCATTTGTAGTTGCAACTAATAATACTGGATTATGGCATGTGCTGTAATCTTCAGCACTAATGGAAAATATAATGATTAAAATATTAGGATAAGGATATGAACATGAGATTTAAAGGCATTATGCCGCAGTTCCTAAATAAAGATTAAAGAGAGCAGTTGAGTTCTTGGGGATTGAATGTGACCCATCTTGAAGCCTCGTCCGTTCTTTTAACCTTTTCTTTTTCTTCCATGTTTGAACCAATTCGAACGTTGTGCTCCTTTTCCATGTTATATATCTGGACACTCAATTTTCTTGGTCGCCTAGTGATCACGAATTTAGGGTTACTCGCCGCCGTTGAATTTGATAGCAAGAATTGAGATTAAACCACTAAACATACATCCATTTAATTAACCTCTACAGTTAATATTAGATCCAATGGTGAATGATCATACATTTCTTGATGACACGTTGCCGAGGAACAATTTTTTTTTTTGGAGGGAACACAAGGATTTTATACTTGTCAGTGGATGGAAGTTAGTGTTTTACAACCTTAATAATTTGTTAGTAGACCCCAAAAGCAGATATAGTTAGCTTTTGTACTTCAGCAACTCAGGCTGATGGCTACATTTGGATATATTTTATGCCCATTTAATTTTCATAAAGTTGATGCCTTTTGAGTTGTGTGGAGGCCATTACGGAAAACAAGCAATGATTTTCAATCAATCTACATCGGATTTTGTATAATTTAACAGGAACATGATTTAGCAAGTACACCAAAGTTTATAGTTAAAGTTGGAGAGAATTATATCTAGGAGGAATATATGCTTTAATATTCAATGTGTTCATCAACTTGGCACTTGATAAATATTCCGTTTGAGTTACATCTATAAAAGAAGTATTTTCAGTTGAAGCTGAGATCTCAAGCTCACCATTCTCGCAGCACTAGCTCATAGACCAGAACTCAAACCACCTACCCTTTGATAAAGGGGGAGAAGTATAACAATGCAAGGGAATTTAATTGAGGGGGATACACATGTTTTGCATTTGTTTTGTGTAGTTATTAAAGTAGATGAGAGAAAGTGATGAGTGGCTTAATAACTGTTAATGCTAGTGAGAAACATTTTACGAATCGTTGTATATAGATAAAAACGCCTCACATAACATTTATTAATGTCTGGAGCAATAACAGTTGGGTTCCAAAAAAATTCTTCAAAAAAATTTTAGGTTGTTAATTATTTATTTTTATTACTATGAAAAGAGTTTTGAGGAGTTTATTTTGTGAAGAGCACCACTTAAAATCACTATTTAATAACATATTAATTTTGATAAAACAGCATCACATTTCAATACATTGAAGTGTCAATTTATTTGGGTCCTATCCTATGGCAATGATGCAGACAAATTAGGGACACATATGTGACACAACTTTTTTTATACTATATTCGGATTAAGAGTTTAGTGTCTAATTTTTTGCAAGGATGATTTATGAATGATGCTCTAAAAGATAAACAATTCAGATCGTGTCAATACATTATAAAATAAACCCCACAAAAATATGTGTCAAAATGTAGTGCAACAAATCCGTCCCGGAAATTTAAATTGACGTTGAGAGGCCTCATGATCACAGTTAATTGATCAAATAATTAGAAAAAGTAAGCTTCAAGATATCAACTCCTCGTGAATTACTGCCTTATATATAAAATATAGATTAAAAGAATAAGAAAGTGACTTAATACTTAGTCAAAACAAGATTAGAAAACTTCCCCAATGACCATTATCTTCTAGTTTCATACGAGGGAAGATTCCTTTCTACAAAGATTGCCAAATGCATAAAAAATAGTTTGAATAAGTACTGGAACTTGGAAGCGTTTCATGGTTTTAGACATAGAAGGGACTAACCAATCTTCAAATTGGCCTCCTCTCTAGAGAAATTGGATTATATATTTTTCTCCAACTAGCTTAATTAAAAATCTTAATAATAACCTTAAGACAAAAGCAGTTGGTACCTTAGCTAAATAATATTAATTAAATTGTATATATTAAATAATATCTTTGAGTCCCTATCTAGATTTTGAAGTGCTCTTGTAATATATAGTTTGCCAATATAGAAATCAGAATATATATACTATTTCCTTAAATCAGAACTGGGGATTCTAATATATGTATATTCTGAGTGACAATTATGGTACCTTTGCTAAAGTCATTAGCCATGAATATATATATATATATATATATATGTGTGTGTGTGTGTGTGTGTGTGTGTGTGTATTATGTGTGTGTGTGTGTATATAAATAATCGTAAAAACAAGTGATATGATAGGTCAATGCAAACAGTGAAGTGTTCATTATCTTAGATTCAAGGATAACGAGAGAGTTAGGTAAGACTTGATATAATTTAGGTAGATTTAGATTTGATCATCTAGATTTTTAGTGATTGGGTTGCTTTGAAGTTTGAAATCAAATCAAATCATTAATTTGTAGTTCAATCTGATTTGAACATTTGGTCCAATAATCTGAATCGTTGAATGAAGAGGGCATGACATTTTGGTTTCTTCTTCCCTGAAAATATTGGCATTAGTCTCTTAAGCGTAACATTTAAGCATATATATAGCTGTTGACTTATCAAAAGAACCTGTATGTGAAGAAGTTACTGAAATGTACGAGTTAAATTCCTAAGAAACTGCAACATGAAACATGTCAACTTTCAAACGGGGTTCTTCCTTTTCTGTGATATTTTCTCATCTACCTACTTCCAAGATATTTCTTATATATCTACCTAATTCCAAGTATCGAGCATTGCATGATGGCCAAGGCATGTACACAATAACATATAAACAAATATTGCTCTTAATAAGTGATATATTTATCAGCTTAACATGATTGGGTGTTTCAAGTTCGACTATTTTTCCCTTGATACAAAAGTAGGAAAATATTATATTATTGACTCTTAAAAAACCATCCTGCAATACTTCTCTCAAATGTATTTTCTCTCTTCTGTCTTTGCATACTTAAAGTGAGAAATAATTTTTTTGAAGTGCTAATAACAACTATACTCGTGATTTATCTACCTAATTATGATTATACGCATACAATTGCTTTTATTAAAAATGAAAAAACGCTATAGGTCCCCTACAATATTAATATATTGTACTTAGAATATTCCTACAAATTCCAGAAGACAAAGTTCCTGTATAGGATGAGACTTAAATATATATATTCCTCTTATATATATATATATATATATGAAGTGAATAGAAGAGCGAGGTAGTTATACAACTGGTTTTAACTTGTTTTGTTTAGAACCCAAGTAGAAAAATATTCAAACAATAAACAATGTCCATCCAATCATC